CTTCCAGTGACCAAAATGGCAGCTCCTGACAATTCTCCGTTGCCATCATTCTCTACTGCTAGCCTCCTTCAGCATTACCACCTCCAGTGTCCTACAGTTTTATCAGCCTTTAGTATACTAGCTCACCCTGTTGTATTAGAGATAGAAATCATCAACAGGCAAAAAATAGACCACCTGAAAGAGGCTTTATTAGGATTTATACTACCACATAAGGGGAAAGAGCATACAAACTAACCCACAGAGGGTATAGGGAAGTCATTATGTACAAGGGAAAAAGGCTAGCTTGTACATATGCAGTATTAGACTGTGTTTAGGCAAGGGTAGGAGTGGTGCTCCTTCCAGACCTGATTGAGGATGGCTCCAGGAGGCAGAGTCATCCAGAGAGGCTGCAGGGAAGTTATCTGGATGAACCTGCAACTGAGGCTTGCTGCAACCAAAGCAAATATCTCCCACAGCAGTTGTATGTGTCTTATGTAGTCATGGCTGCCCACAAGGCATTTAGGGCAGCTATAGAATAAAGAAAATAAATTAGAAGTACATTTTGGGTCTTGTTGAGGCCTTCTTTCCTGTCTCATTACTATTAACCACTTACTAGTCCAATTATTTAAATACAGGATGACCAAAAATTGCATTTTTTGTTCATTTTTATAATATAAAAATAATCATCTTATCATCTTATCAAATTTATTCAATAATTTTTCTGTTTATGGTACATATATCTTAAAACATTCTATACCTGTCCAAGCAACACTTGGGATAGTCAGTACGTAAACAAATGCACTGCCTGAGTGATGCTCAGGGTAATCTGTTAAGTGTTTAATAGTGATGATTGGGTATATTTATTCTTTTTATATATTATCTTTGTTGGCAAAATATATTTTAAATGTATTCAAATACTGCTTTTGAGAATATTTTAAGAAAATGTGGCAATTTCATCATCTATATTCCAATTTCAAGAAGGAAAAGAAAAATGTTAAAAATTCTAGGAGAAAGCATGTTGACATAAAATTTAAATTGAATGGGACCTTTGTGCAATGTCTCATTTTACAATGAAAGAAGCCAAGGCACTGAGAAATTAAATGGCTTGCCCAAAATCACATATCTAATTATTGGAGGAGCCAGAAATAGATTCCATACCTCCCTATTCCCAATCCAATGGCATTTCTAGAAAACAAAATTACTTTTAGTTGTTAGTAGAGAATTGAAAATTGAACCTATAGTGTATAAACTCTTTCAACTTTCCTCCATCCCCTTCTATCACCATCCCAACTTATATTTCTCTGCTGCAACGCCCATCCTGAACCCTCATGTAAACTGAGAAGTCTAAGCATGCATCTGGGTTTATTTAGTCTTTGCTATATCCAGGTAATCAAATGATCTCATCATGTCTCTGACTTCCTCTCAATCTTTTACCTATGCCTGTTGCTTATTAGCTTTATTTGTTAAATAGGCTTTCTCACTTGGTAGGTAATCCCTAACATACATCTTCCCAGTTTAGCAACCTCAGTAGGAAAAGGTAGTCTTCCCTATGAGTTTTCAACATGGTTCATTCCAAATGGCATTATTTAAGTTATGTGTTCATCCTTTATTAATACCTGGAGCCTGGGCAGTTGGATTATTCTATCCTCTGGTCCCAGAAAGGCAATATGCCACAAGCAGAGGATTCACCAGGATGGAATAGAATATAGTAAAGATGTGTTTCCCCAAAGAAAAAGAGTGGTACTTCTACTAAAAGAATGGAAAGCATCCTAGACAAACAAAAAAACAGAATCCTCTTGCTATATTCTCTATCCCTTGCATTCTCATCAAAACAAAAAATTTTGGAAAGAACAATTTACATTCTGTATGTTCACTTTCTTACATCTTGGTCACTCTTCATTCATTAAAAGTTAGGGTCTCTTTCTATCTCTGCTTTGAAACTGCCTTTGCTCAGGCCATTTAGTGATCTCCTAAGTGTCATTCAGTGATCTTTTTTCAACTTCTATTCTTTTTAACTTCCAGTATTTGTCACTTCTGTTCTTCCCTTCGTTTTGGAAGTCTCCTTTGGTTTCAGTTAACTCAATCTGTTAGTTTGTCTTCTACTTCTCAGACTTCCTGGCCTATTCTTCCTGTTGATATTGCAAAAGTATCCTCTGCCTTTTCTCCTTCCCTCTCCTTTTTTCTATTCTTCCTCTCCCTCCTCCTCTTCTCCTCCCCACTCCTCTTCTCCTCTTTTCTTACTTCAAAACAACTCCTAAACAATATTACCTAAGCCCATATATTCTGATGTTTCCAAAATCTTTATCTTTCATCCAAATCTTTCTAACTCCAAATCCATCCTATATAATCACTTTCCTGGACATACCCACTTAATATTGTCATATCAACATCCAAACTCCATCTTCTTTGTGTCTTATTCTACTTTACTTTCTCCTTAGCTCAGTGAATAAACTCTCTTCTTTTCTAAGCTGTTAAGGGCTAGAAAAGAATCGTTTTAAATATCTTACCCATGTGTAATACTACCAAATCTTAATTACTTTGCCTCTTGCATATCTCTGATATATATTCTTCCTTCTCTATTTTTTTAATGATACTCAGTTTAGAAATTAATTTTCTCCCATTTATTTCAGTAATTTTCTTTTTTCTGTTTCTGGTCTTGTTATCTTCTGATCCATAACTGTTCCAAGTGAGCAAACAGGCCTATCTGATCATACCTCTTCCTAAAACATCTCAAAGTTATATTTTACTAGTAAGAATAAAAATTGCTGTAACGTGACAAATAAGCTTCAATATGATCTAGTATTTACCTTACCTTTGCAATTTCAATGGGCTCTGCTTTCTGTTTCTCATATGGCTGTGTCTTTTACATGCTGTTCTTATTTCACAGACTATCTTGCTTTTCTTTCTTGCTTTCTCTATCATTGTAGCTCTAATCAAGCTCAAAATCCTACTGTTTCTTCATGTGTTTTACCTCAGGAATCTTTTTGATTCTCATTGCTCTTTCTTCTGCATTCCCATTGCACTTTGTATATATTTCCATTTTTAGTACATATATTATGTGTATCATTGTATTGTGTACAAAACTAGAATAATGTGAACTATAGTTGTAAGTACAGTTAAAGGGTAAAGTAGGATTTGAGTGAAGAAGTGGATAGAGGTTATTTAAAGTGAAAAGAACTCTAGTATACTGAGCAAGCTTGTATTGGCTTGTGAGAGGTGATTATTAAACTTTCAGAAATCTTTTGGCTATTATTTAGGATTAATTATATAAAAGTTCAGTCAAATAAATTGTGCTTTTAAGAGAAAAAAAGTAAAATTTATCACTTCCTATTTATTTCACTACAATTTACTATTATCCATATTCTTAAGGTTATTTACCTATATGATAGAAGTGTGGTGCATTGGGGTGCTACACTGTATTTCTTCCCAATTTCTCCACAGATTTTTTTTTTCTTTTTCTTTTTTAGTACTGGGGATCGAACTTGGGACCTTGCACTCTCGAGGCAGGCTCTGGAACCACTGAGCTAAATCCCTGGCCCCTATTCCCAATTTCTCATTCAGTGATGTCGCATTAGTAATTTGAAATCAGTTATAGTGGTATGTTTTTACTATAGGCATTAGTAAACACTACCTATCAGAATTTAATTTGTTATATTTATTGTTTAGATTTAAGAGACAAATATTAATAGTGCATATTAAATTTAAGGGTGTGTTGTATTTATAGCCATTATATTGTGAATGACACACAAAAGAATCAAGGGAATATTTTTTCAGTGTTTGAAAACCACTACTGAGTTCAGCAATGATGCTGTTTAAGTCAAGGATGATGAAGTGAAGTTCCTACATATGTCTTTGAAGTTTTCTTTCATCTTATTTGTTAAAGTCAACAAACATATCAAATAACATTCGTGTGAGCACTATAGCCATGTGTCAATTGCAATGATAGGTTTGCTATAAATAGAAGAGTGGGAGAGCAGTGAAATCACTAAGTACAAATCAGCAAGCTATATAGAATTTATAATTAATATAATTTTATAAGTTAATACAATTAATATGTTTATTATTCATCAATTGTATACTATGTGTCCTTTATATCAGTAAAGTTGATAATAAACATGTATGCATACATGTACATTGGAAAGGCAGTTATCAAATATTTATTAGTAAATCATGCAAGACTATACAAGTAAAGATATTTAGACTCCATAACAATCTTTTGGAATTGGTGCTATTGTTATTCTGATTTTGAAGGGAGATAACTAGGCTCAGTGACTTTGAATTACTTTGAATTGACTTTGAATTTGTCTAAAATCATATAACTAATTAATGAAAGTGGTGGAATCTTCACCAAGGTAGTCTGCCTCTAAATCCAGGGTATGAACAATGGTAACACTAAAAATTTTTTACTAAAAGAAAAATAAGGATAGATTTCAGAAAAATATATTTCATAACAACATTCATAATTAACTAGTAAGAAGAGCTGGAGGAGGAAGACTATTTTAGAAGCTAATGTAATTCAGTCTTGGAATAGAGTTATTTTCATAAATGAATTGAGGAAAAAATATTTCTTAAAATCCACTGAAAATTAAACTTAGTGTAACTATCAGTACAATTAATACAATAAATAAACAATACATATTCAGCAATGCTTGACACAGTACTCTTAATTTTTTTTTTTTTTGGTACCGGAGGTTGAACTCAGGACCTTTTGCTTGCGAGGCAGGCAATGGAACCACTGGGCTAAATCTCCAGCCCTTTGACACAGTACTCTTGAAAAGTATTACTCAAGAACTCTGCTTAGTAGTTGAAAGATATGTTTGATACATCAACATAAAATGATGCTTGTGGTTTTAAAAGTACCTATTCTTTTTTGTATGTACATGTAACAGATTTTTCTAGATGGAACTATTCTACAACTTCAAATGAAAACGCTCCTCAAACAGTGATGTTCAACAAAAATTTTAATGTATCTGGAAACCAAAATTTGACAGATGCAGATAAAAGCTACTCTTCATTTTCAGAAGGTTTGCATGTGAACTTTGAATTGGGAGATGAAGTCTGGGAGGATTTTGATGATGAAAACTTAATAGAAGTTACTAGCTCAACTGATACTGAGAAGACAACGACATCAGGTAGAATTGTTTTAACATGAAGTAATTTCATTTGAAATTCTTTGACTATTTTTAATCTTTGCTTCTAGGACTAATTTTTTTGCCTTTTTATATGTGCTTATTTAATTAGATTTGTTTCATTAAGACTATAATTTTTAACAAAACTAAAAATTTAATCCTTCTACAAAGAGTATTTTCTCTCTTAAGGGCAGAATTCAAGGTTATTTCATGATGATGATATAGTAAATCAGTTTTTTCTATTCTCTTGCTCCTCTGTCTTCTTGAAGACTCTATTCAAATTCAGACCATTGAACTGTCCCTCACAAAAAAGACTATCTTGCTGTCCAGTCTAAGACTACACGTTTTACCATATTTGTGAAGGATAAAATTATTCGATTTTTTAAAGCATTCAGGCTTGCAAGGAAAATAAAGTAACTTATTTCGAGTCAAAATATTGACTTTTCTGGTATAAATAAAGAAAGGATTTGTTTCTTCTGTAGTGGAAACTACATTTAAATCATGTATAAACCAAAAATAATGAGACTTAGTTCTCTGAGTTACAGGCAATTTCACTTCATGTCACTGAAACAAAAATTGAAAATCTGGGTATCTGACAAGATAACAAATGGAAATACTCTACCTCATGAGAGTTGACAGAAGGAAATCAGTTCCTCAGCCTTCTCAGTCCAGACTTTTATTCCCACCATTATTATACTTTTGTTGCTTCTTAATATTCCTCACTTTGTGCTTTTAAAAAATTCTTTCCAAGGGAATCAGTTAGAAGTTGAAATATTGTTTTAGGGCCCTAAGAATTACCTAAAGAGCTACTGCTTTTCTCAAAAAGCTCAGGATTTGAATATGACTACCTTCACAAAATTGGTCTGGAAAATCTCAGGAGGTCAGATCATTAGACATAGTTTCTCTGTCACTGGACAACTGCTGATCCCTATCTCAAGATTAAACATCACTGTGCACTGCAAGTTAGTAGGCAACTGATCCTTGGAGTGGCCTCATCCTTTGAATGTATAGCTTTGTCACTGGGAAAATCAGTCTCAATAAATGCTATTTTCCTTCCATGTTTAGAGCACTTTAAATATGCAGACCTTTGAAAATGCTTTAATGAATCTCAATTTGATCATTTACCTGAGTTTAAAAATAAGTAAGTCCATAGTGGACTAATAAGCTAACCTATGTGCTTTATAGTTTTATTCCTTTAGCCTTGTGCCACTATTTTCTTTATGCAAATTAAATTTGATTATTGAGAAGAATTATTAATCATTCCTTTCTTAACCAGATTGTATCTGTTGGAGAGATCCTTGTAGAATGTGTGAAAAGCCTCATTCAGCTGTTTCCTAACATTTTATTTCAAAATGTTATCTCTTTATGTAGGATTTGGAAACACTTTGAGTTCAAGTACCAGGGGAAGTAAGTTACCCCTCCAAAAGCCAAAGAGCAAATTCCAAAGAGAAATGTCAAACAGGCAAGTTTTTGAACTTTAGTTTGTAATTCTTACAGATTTATATCCTCTTGACACATAATTCGACATAGGAATCAAGTCATTAGATGTCAGAGAAGCTGTTAAGATGTTACCAACCTGAAAACCCTCTTAATCTTAGAGATAGGTTTCTCAAAGTGCTGTTGTCAGACCAACTGCAACAAAACCACCTAAGGGTTACATATTAAAAATGCACATTCCATAGTCCTACTGAATCATGGTCTCTGGGATTCATGTTTGACTCTCTCAGACCATTCAATAGCTTTTAAAACTATTATCCTAAAATTTGTCCCTTTATCACTTCCATTCATTGGTTCTAACTTTTAGTCACATATAATAAACATATCAGCAACAAAGTGGAACAAAGCTGTGGGTGTAAAGAAGCAAAAATTAGATAAATTACAAGTGGGAAGATAACAAAGCACAAGAACAGTTTTGTGTGCTACACCTTTTAAAAACTACAAATAATTTTGAGAGTTTAGAATTGACCAACAGACAATAAATAGGTTTAAAAATAGATCCTAACCAGAACCCTCTAAGAAATTGATGTTAGAATTTGTTCCAGGGAAGGCTCGCAGGGCCCAAGGAGCTGGAGTGGAAAGAAGACTTGTTTTTCCTTTGATATTCTTTTAAAATTATTTAATTCCTTGTCATATATATATATAATATTTATTAATTCAAAATAAAAAGATCCAGTTCCATCTGTATATGTGACTCTCCTTTGCCTTCACCCACTACTCATTGTTTCTTATATGGCTGTTTTAGCCTTTAAGTGTTGTCTTAAATTTTCACCCCTTCAGAAATGCATTGATGGTCATCTTTTTAAAGTGGGTTTATAACCCCACACTGTTATTTCCTATGACATTACTCAATTCATTTCCTTCATATAACTTCAGAATCTGCACTTATGTGTATATTTATTTTTATTCATTGTCTGTTCCTCTACTAGACAGCAACTCCCTAGGGGTTTGTTTACCATTTTATATCCAGCACCTAAAATAATACATAGCATATGGTAGTGAATAATAAATGTATATTAATGAATTTAGTACAGAAGTTTGTAAGTAGTTCTCATATACAGTTATATGTAAGAAGATAACTAGAGTTATCTATTTATAGTAAGACCAGAATATGGAAAGGAGATTGAAAATGGAATTTAGAAAAGCAAGTAGAATTAAGGAAAGATTTATAGACTATTGGGTTATGCATAACATTTGATACTGAAGTAAACTGTTGAACAATTATTTCTTTAGTCCCTTAAAATTAGTATCTAATTTGGATCATTGTAGTTTGGTCTAAAAAAAGGAAATATATCAAATTCTCCATAAGTATAAATAACAGAGCATCATTTTTGTGACAAATTTGTAGAACTTTAATCATATTCTCAACAGAATCACTATTTAGGTAAATTATAGTAATTTTTGTTTGCAATATTTTTAAAAATTAATTTTAATTTGTAGTTTTGTTTCATCACATGAAAAGCCAGATACTTATTTATCAGATTCTGCTATGGACAAATTCGGTTCATCCTTCCTGACACAATTATCTGAACAAGCTGAAAATGCAAATACCGTAAGCAGAAGCACTTCTTTTTCTTTTACATTTTTCCTGAGTACTTAAACTTTCAATGATTGCTACTTTTTAACATCAAAATATAGGTCCATTTACAAGAGAGAAAACAACAAAATATGTCACCAGTAATTGAGAGGTTATACTTTCCTCACTCCAAAAAAAATCCAAAATCTTCAAATGTTATGGAAGTGGATTCTGTTATTAGAAACAGCAACTCTAAAAAGAAAACTGATTTTAGGTAAGAACCCTTTGTATGCATTTCAAGATTATACCAATGAAAACTTTTTAAAGAAATTCAGCATTCCTTTTTCCTTGGTTGATTTTAAAGATCAGAACCTAAACACTTTAGTAAAGGCATTGAAATTATAGACCCCTAATGAGCTGAACTCCTTAAGATGCTTCACAACATCAAATATCTGAATTTTTAAAACTTTGTTTGATGCTATTAATTATAAAGCATTATGTTGAGTTGATACATAGTTTACTGATTTGAACATGGTATTTATTTATTTTATGAGGTGTAATGTCATTTGAGAAATACAGATGAAAGCAGCTAATTACTCAAAAATTCAAATCATATTTTAGCCAACCAATAATTTCACAACTCAACAGGTTCAATGAAAAAATGAAATGATATCTAATCAATTCCCTCATTACTGGCCATTTTTAAAAGGGAAATTATAGCAGCTTCTCTTTCCTTGAAGACTCAAAAGATCAGAGGCCTCTTCACGTTTTATTAAATGACAGTGTTTTCCAGTGTATTTAAAGAAATATCTAAGAGTCTTGGTCCTAACTTTTTATAGTTTATGAAGTCTGTTTTTTTTTTACCCACACTCTCCAAGGTTATACACCCCGAAGTTGATTCAATATATTAACCTCACAGCAATCTTCAAGTTCATCTACGTTCTTTTAGTATTATTACATTATTTATTCTGTATTTTAAAACAAATTGTGTAACAAAAGTAGTTATTTCTTACTTGCTCTCCCCCCAACCCCAATTAGGTATCATCCTGATGATGAAGCTAATGAAATAAAGTCTTTTCTGGGAATATTTGATGGTATTTTCTAAAAAAACAAAATTTTTTTCTAATAATAAGATGAAGTATGAAGACACCTAATCACAAAGCATGCTTTTTGTTTTTAAAAAGTAATTCATACTTGAGAAGACTTTTTCCCCTTAAATTTGATCAGATTTGTTGATTTTTTTTTTACAACAAAATATATGGACTGTTTTATTTTCCACTATATTGTAACTTCTTCTGTTTCAATAAGCTTATAATTAAGTTACACTTAGAAGTAATGTTTAGTTATTAATTGGATTTTGACAGGAATTAATCTATTTGCTGTATAGATTTCTTTACTACTGTGGTTCTCATGTATTTTGTTTTACTCTGTGCTGTTTTAAATTTTTAAGAATCCCGTGGCTGTTTAAACCTGTTGTTATCTAATTTTGAGCATTAATAAATTAAATATTATTAATCAGTATAATAGTTGTTTTTGTTTAGCTTGTTTTTCAATGTTGTAAATTCTAAACATTATATTGACTTTTACTATAGCAAAATGATTCTTTGTATTATTTCCCAATAAGTTATATCTCAAACTTATTGATTGATAAGTAGCATATAGGCACTTTATGCAATGCTTATTTCTAATATATTTACTATTAGACACCATGTGAATTTGAAGCCCAATTAAGAAATTTTTAAAAGTATGTATTTTTTCAAGCCTTAAAAATCTTAGAGGAAAGAAAAGAATAGAAACTTCCAGATGAGTTGTTATTGTTAGTAAACACTTATGAGGCATCATATGTATTAGATAAAAAGCTTAGAACAAAACTAAGAGGTATTGTCTCATGTTGAAAAATAAGGACAACCAGTTCCTTTATTTTAGTCCTCTTTACAATTGGAATGTTTCTTCATCTCAATCAATCATGTTACAACCTTTAAATTTCTTAAGCAAGATTAAAATTAAAAATTGATCCACTAATGACTATTTATCTTGCATACATAGACCTTGACACAAAGAAATAGCAATTTAATTCAACATGACTTATTGTTATCTGCTAATTAAAAAACATTGTACTTAGTACTGCAAAGGATGAAGACAGTATTTCTGCTCTCATGGAACTTGCTTTACCTTCTTGTGAAGAGGTTATGATATGTAATATGGTACAGGTGTACCTCCAACATATTGCAGGTTTGGTTCTGGACCACTATAATAAAGCTAATATTGCAATAAAATGAGTCACATGAATTTTTGGTTCCCCAGTGAATATAAAAGTTACATTTATACTATATTATAGTATATTGTGTATGTAATAGCATTATATCTTTTTAAAATATACATACCTTAATTTAAAAAATGCTAAGAAATGCTAGCAATCTGAGCTGTTGGAAAAATAGCACCAACAAACTTGCTCCATGCATGGTTGCTTCAATGTATAAATAGTGCAATTATCTGTAAGGTACAATAAAGTGAACCACAATAAAGTAGAGTATGCCTGTGGTGATAAAATACAGAATATACTGGAGCAGTGGTTCTCAAACTTCACAGTAAAGTGGAATTCCCTAGGGTGTTGTCCCAAAACACATTGGATACTATAGACAGTGTTTCTGATTCAGTAGGTGTGGCATGTTCCCGAGAATTTGCATTTCTAACATTCCCAAATGATGCTAATGCTATAGGTACAAGGACCCACTTTGAGAATCACTGTGATAGAGGTTTAAAGAGTTATGAGAATACACCAAAGAAAAAATATAATCCTGACCCCTGGAAGCCTTTGTAGAGAAGTTAAAATTTGAGCTGAGCCTTGAAAGGTAAATAAGATTTTGTAGAAAAAGACAGGAACAAAGGACATTCTAGACAGAGGAAACAGTTTGAGCCAAGGTGTAAGGAGGAAAGAATCTATTTGGGGAATGATGAATAGATAATTTTAAACACAGGTGTTTTAGTTTACCAACACTGGGACAAAATACCCCAAACGCACAACTTTAACAAGGAGAGATTTGTTTTGGCTCACAGTTTTTAGAAGTTTTAGTACACAGCTAGCTCCAAGGCAGAAATAGTACCATGGGAGGACCTAGGCAAAGGACTGCTGCTCATTCCAAGGGAGCCAGGAAGCAGAGAATGAAGGGAGGAGCTGGGGAGGGGGAGATGTTTGAGCTATCCCCCCTATGACCCACCTCCTTCAACCAGACCCTACCTCCTAATAGCATATTCAGCTCTGAACGTTTCAATGGATTAATGCATTGATAAGTATAGCACCCCCATGATCCAATCACCTTTTAAAACCCCATCTCTGAACATGTGAGCCTTTTAGGGAACATTCTAGATCTAAACCATAATAATATGTTAATGTTTAGATTAATCATTTTCCCATTGCTGTATCAGAATACTCAATACCTCCAATTTAAAGGAGCAGAGGTTTACTTGGCTCAAGTCCCAGTGGGTTCAGTCCATGGTTGGCTGGATCCAAGGCAGAAATGGCATGGTGAAAGAGCAAGGCAGAGGAAAGCTGCTTGCCCCACAACAACCAGAAAGCAGAGAAAGGAGGATTGGGGGACAAGAATATATTCAGTCTTGTACCCAGTTACCCACCTCCAACCAAGCCCCACTTCCTAACAGTATATTCAGCTATATGAGTGGATTAATCCACTGATGAGTATAGTGTTCCCATGATCCAATCACCTTCCAAAATACACATGAGACTTTTGGGGGGACACTTTAGATCTAAACAATGTCATAGATGCTTGAAGTGTTCTTTAAGGTGAGACCATAGAAGGCTTTAATGAAACCCAAGCTTTATTCAGTAGACTGGTATTTCTAAAATTTGCTTCATCATAAAAATGTGTTAAAGACATGCCCCAGTTTACGTTTTCAACCTGGAAAACTATATATATGCTAATTATATGTAACTCCAAAAGAACGCCTGATATATATATATATACACTAACCCCTTAAAAGAGTCTCATTGCTGGCTGTTCCTTTAATGAAGTGAATAATACTACATTTTAAAAATTTTAAGATATATATACATTAATTTATTCATATAGAATGAACCAAATAATGGAGTTTTTCACAAAAATCTCTGGTGGGTTTAAATTTTTCTCAAAATGTTCCTCAAAAGGCTGTATTTCTTACCTTGTTGGCAAAATGGCATCTACCTCAGAGGTGTGTATTGAGCACCTAATAAGCCACTTCACTGAAAGCTCGTAGTGTGAGGATGGATACATAGTATGTGTTTGTACCAAAAAAGGGTGGGTTTATATATATATATATACTTGAAAGGCCTATGAGAAGGCCTTTTCGTTTGAGTTACACTGAGTGGCATAAGAACTTGGTAGTTAAAGTCTTGACTTTCATCATCATAGAAAAAAAACGTTTTCCTCAGAAACCTCCCTCCTACAATGCTTTCTTATGCTTTAAGGCAGATCCATGTCCCGATCTCTTCCTCACCAGTACTACAGTATTTGTTAGGGTATGATCACTGTATATGACCTACATTATTATTCCCTTAAATAAAATGTACATACATTTCCTGAAAATTCTATTATAATAATACATTCTAACACCAGACAGAAATGATTGTGGAAATATTCACTTTTCTAAATTTTGGCACAATTTACTCTTTAGTAGAATCATGCAATCTTTTTACTATGATTCTTCCTAGGAAGTATCATCATCGGGCACAGTAGGGCCCCACTTTTGGAGTACTCTAGCCTGGGAGTCACAGGTAATATTTACCTATGGCATGCTAGATGATAGGTGTCTGTATTTAAGAACTTTTCCTTTTGTGGGAATAGAGATGGCACCAAGGAAGAAAACAAAGTAGAATAAACTAAGCTTAGACTCATCCTAAGCAAACAACCTAAGAATTTCAGTATGTGTTTTGGGTAGAACAAAACAAAAAAAGGAAAGCGCAGGCATGTCTTCTGTTTTGTCGTTTACACTACTGTCTCCGTAGTTTAAAGCCTTACTACTCAAAATCTGATCCCAAGACTAGCAATGTAGGAAAGACCTAGAACCTCACAGCCCTCTCAGAACCTGAATTTTAACCACATTCTCAGGTGATTGTGCGTATTAAAATGTGAGAAGCAGTTACATAAAGTAGAAAGAAAAGGAGATGATATCAGAATTCTATTCCAGAAGTCAGGTATGAGTAATGGTGATTACTCGGCTTTCTGCACATGTATTTTCTATTTAAAATATATGGTGATAGAGCTCTTAATTACCTTTCAGTATAGGTCGTTTTCTTCACCAAACTGTGTAAATTATCTTTATAATTCTCATGCATCAACTGGGTGTTTTTAATGTAGCTTGAGAGGTACTTAGACACTCTATAGAGTTTTGTTTCAATTAACATAATAAAAGCAAATAATTCAAAAAGTAATTTTTGTTTCAATTTGGAAACCTTTCACTAAATTAACATATGCCTTAGAAATTCTGCACACTTCAGCAAAACAAAACAGAAACATATGAACAAAATCCTTACAGTATTCTATTTTGAAAGGTTTACAAAAATGTGCATAAACCTGCACATACACACACACATATATATGGTACCTATAAAATTTTTAGTTACAAGAGGAATTATAATTAAGCTGACATTAGCATTTTACCTGAAGTGCCTCTTTATGACAGTAGATGGCTTCTCTCCTTTACAAACTACATATATAATAATAAAGACACTAGTATTTTAGTTTCTGTATTAATCAGTTTGGAAACTGAAACATTTTATCAGTTGGAAATCAAAATATCACCTTTCCTACCCCACCCTGTGTGATTGAAGCTAGGGCCTTCCATATGCAAGGCAAGTCATCTACCACTGAGCTACATCCCCAGCCCAAATGCTTCTAAATTACTTTTAAAAACAAAAATAATTGTATTCCAATTAAGTGATTGATTTACAATGAGTTTTTAAAATTATTTTTCATTCTTTTTGTTATTATCTGATATTTTTGAACAAAGGAAAAAATATCATTGTTTATTCAAAATAATGATAGAAACTTAGAGATAGTTCAAAACTTAAATTTAATTAAGGAAAAACTGACCCTCAAAATATTAAATTATTTTAAGGATCAAAATGTAGAATAAATAATGTGAAATAGGAACAAAAAGTCCAAAGGGGAAAGGGAATTAGGAGGGGTAGGAGAAAGGAAAGAAGGGGAAGGAATAAATATGAGAAAAGGAAAAAATGGGAACGAAGTCTTTGTAAATATGGGGGTAGATGGGTGGAATGGAGGGCAGGGGAATCAGGAAAAAAATAAGAACCAAGATACATCATGTAAAGGTACAAATTCCCAATGATGGATGTCATCATATTGTATACCTAGAATGTACCAATAAACTTAATGAATAAAAAAAGTATTAAGTTATATGCCCATAGTTTCTAAGCAAATAATTGGTAAAATCCAAACTAAACCCAGGTCAGTATCATACTTTTGTACTTTAGTTCCTAATATTAAGGGTTACATCTTAATGCTCATTTTTATAAACATTTTATCTTTTGATCCAATGTATAAAATGTACTTTATTATGCTCACTTCTTCCTTAAATGTACTAGGGAATTCTTTTCTACCTGAGAACTATAATATAGTAGTTCAATTTTAAACACAATTTTACCCATGATTGTTGCTATATTTACAGTTTTGAAATAGTATTGCAGACATACACTAAAGTATATGGTATATATCAGTTAGAATGGTCTAGCTATGCATTATTGTTTGAAAACAGCCAAATATCTTACTGTTCTTTGATTCAATAAATAGTGATTGAACCAGCTAATATATGCCACTCATCTCACAAATCTGTTTTGGAAAAACTTGATGTATAAGAATCAGCTGCCAATGCAGGAAGTTTCTGAAAGACCAGTTAGAGAAATAAACATTTCCAGGATTGCACAGAATGCAATTTATTATGGACTTACAGACAGAAATATGTCTTGGGTGGCAGCAAGAGAAGAGGATCCCCACACCCCATTGCAGGAGAAAAGTCTATGCTAAATTAGACAAAGGTGGACCTCAGCCAACTGGAATGTACCTGGGCTTTCTCAAAAACTATTAACATTTCAAACATCAGTTCAGAAACAGTCCTGGCTCAGCTGATTATCTTAACAACTTTGTTTATCCTGTAGGATTTGGAGTGCCAAGGTGACCTGGCAGGAAAAATGATGCTTATAACCAGGATGGCTGTAGTCTTGTCAATCTGGATCCCCTCAAAGTTCTAGAAGGATGAACATAACCAG